CTCAATACTCTTCTCCAGCACCAAAGCTCAAAGGCATCAATTCTCCTTCTATCCTCCTTAGTCATTGTCCAACTCTCTGATGCATAACAAGTAATTGCGAAGACCATGGCCTCTATCAGACGCACCTTAGTCTCCAGAGAGACACTATTGCTCTTCAGTACTTTGGAGGGGTCCCTAACAGCAGACTTTCCCATGACAATATGCCTTTTCATTTCCTGGCTACTGGTACCAAGAGTGATGACTGTGGATATATAGACATGCATATCTATATATTGCCTGTAAGCCATGAAAGTGGTCGAAGAAATTGCCAAAGGAGAAATAAGGAGATGAAAAGCAAAAGGAGGCTAGGACCGAGTCTGAGTAGCTCTGATATCTAAAAGATGGGTGAAAAGAGCCTGAAAAATACCAGCCTGGAAGGCATGAGGGGAAAACAGAATAGCGAAGCCTAGAAACCAGGAAAGAGCAACTTCAGTGTGGATGGAAAGGGAAGTGATGTCAAACAAGTTTCCATTGATTTTTCCATTGTGGAAATTATACGTGATCTTAGCAAAGCCCAGTCCCATGGCAGAATGAGGGGGAAACTAGGTTGCAGTGAGTTGAGGAGTAGATGGGAGAATGTGATTGTAGACCACTCTTTCAAGAATTCAGCTGTGCCAATAAGAAGAGAGATAAAATCACAGTTGAAGGGAGGTAAGGGAAGTATAAGATTCCCAAAGATTTTTCTTTAAATTAGAAAAAACTAGGCCACTGCAAGTTTAGCTGAGGAGCTGAAAGACAAGAAGTCATCCATTTGGCTCTGAAAGGTGCCTAGGAACAGTAAGATGCTATTTGAAGGCAGAAGAATAGAGACCGTATTATGAACTTTTAAAAACATCATAAACTAGCCAGCCATAAATGAGCCCATGGTTACTTAGACCATTTTTCCACCTCCCAGGAAAATGTTAATGGCCAAGACCTGACCTTGTGCTCTGTATCTGCATTTGCTTAAACATCTATGCAGTCCTAGGAAGGAAGAGAGCGTTTCCAGGAATCAGTTACACCACCACATTTAACTACCCTTAACAAGTAGTTCAAGTCAATAATTCCTCATTTCTTAAACTGTTGGATTCTTTTAAAACAATTTTTTTTATTAAC